TCTTTGTCGCTTATTCGCAAAACGTATGCCCACACTTACTACGGTGTCACATTTAGAAGCTAAGTGTGGAGTTGCGCTTGGGTCGGTTCAAAACGGGTTCTTTTGCAGCGATCGTCGCAATCGGATTACACACAAAATTTTCGATAATAACACTGCAGTTTACAGGGATAGTTTTTATACAGGGATAGTGAATGGAAAATTACTAATGCGATATTAACGATTTTTCGGTTTTAATCGGAAATGTGTATTTTTTAATCAGCAATTCATTACAAAAGTCCGGAGTTTTCATTCATAAAACTAAAATGAAATTATCAAGTTTCACAAACATGAAAAAATCTCACTTTTTCAATGCATTTCAGATGCTGTCACATAGAAATGTGAATTTTTCAAAAATGTAAACAAACATCTTGTTTTTAGCGAATATTTATATGTTTACAGTGTTATCGAGCGTAACTATTCCTGTCATATTTGGCTTATAACACACAAGGTATGTCTCCATTTTGTCAGTATAATTGAGCATTTGCTTTTGCATTTAGTCTATATGCGATTTCTATTTCAGTCATATTCATAACATTTTGCTCGATTGACCAAATGTAATGGCTGAAATCGAATAATTCCGTACACAACGTGTCAAGGCAAAGTATAGGAATTGGTGTCATTGGCAAAGTATAGGAAAACTTTTTTTCGCAAAATTAGCTTAGATCATCATAAAAACTCATGAAACGCGTAAAAAACCACTTTTTGAGACACTTTTCCGTTCGTGTGCCGTCGTCGTTGTCGTCGTCGTCGTTGGTGTTTGTTAACACGATAACTCAAAAAATAATTGAGATAATCGAAATCTGGAAATGCCAAAAGTTTTGTATCCGAAAAAATTAGTTTAAGTTCGAAGATGAGCCATTTTCGATTTGATCCTGGGGTACCTGCCCCAAGAAAAACCTCAAAAAATTGACACTTTTGTATGGGAGGTACCTGTAAATCGACTCCGATTGGCTTCAAACTTTCTGGGATTTCATTTTTCGGAATAAAAATAAGATTCTGAAAGTTTGAAACCAATCGGAATCGATTTACGGGTACCTCCCATACAAATTTTTCGAAATTTTGACTAATATTACCGATTTTGGACAATTTTGTATGAGAGGTACCCAATCGATTCTGATTGGCTTCAAACTTTCTGAGATTTCATTTTTTGAAGAAAAAATAGGATTCTGAAAGTTTCATGTTGATCGCATGTGCAAAAGTTTGATTTTTTGTCCTCAATTTTTGTCGACATTTTCTTGGAAAAAATTGAGGGCCAAAAACCAAACTTCTGCAAATGCGATCAATATGAAACTTTTGGAATCTTATTTTTTCTCCAAAAAATGAAATCTCAGAAAGTTTAAAGCCAATGAGAATCGGTCTACGGGTACCTCTCATACAAAATTGTCGAAGTTTTAGTTAAAGTGACCGATTTTTCACTTTATTTTTATTATTATATTTTCACTGCCTTTATTTCAAGAAAATTCACAAAAAATAACCAAAAGTACCTACGGACAATGCAGGTCAACGGTACGGAAAAGTTCGGGATTACTAATGTAATTCTTTTTATTGTGTGTATATATTGACCGCACAACGTGTGTTGTGTGTATGACCACTAGAGGCAGGTCGAATGTTGTCGTCAGTATGGATTTCATAGCTGCGGATATAATCGATTCAATTTCATTGAAAACTCTATGATTTATGCTTTAAAAATTGACAGATTCTCTGGTCCACCCTGTATATAAAAACCTGCTATGTTTTGGTAAGTCAAGTTGGTCCATATTTAAATAACAATAGCCGTTGCTTGCGCGTTTACATTTAAGATGAAAGTTTTCTAAAAATAAATATCGATCGTGGAAACGAATGAGGCTGCAAATCGGCTTATCGTTAAAACCGATTCAATAATCACGCTATTGATTTACTTTCAGGGCATTCGCGGTTTGTAGTTATTCACTTTTTCTGAATAGCGTTCCATAATGAATTCATAAATCGCGCTTGAACACCGGGAACACACTGACAATAACATCATTTGCAAAATGACATTCGTTCAAAGTTTGTAGCGTAAAAGAGCACATTCTCATATGCACCAGAGATCGCAAGCGTGCCGAAAATTGGCATATTATGTACTCACATTGTTGAACACTGAGCAATGTCGACTCTATGAATTTGATAAAAAAAAATTAATATACTGTTAACTAGTGATTCTTGTTTAAAGTCTCCAACATTTCAACAGTGTCGTCGATTCCATCTGGTGTCAAATCTTGATTCGGTCATCCGATAATTTCAGCTGTAGTATAAATTTACTAAGAAAAACAAATGAATCTTCTTTTTGTCAATTAAAGTAAATAAAAATGCTAATAAACTGACTTAAATGATCCGTTTCGAAACTGGTTTTATTCACAATTCGTTTGAAGACGTGTGCTTCATCACTCTTGATTTATATAGTTCACATTCAATTACATCATCTAAAAGGCAATCGAACTCGAGAAGAAAAAGTTCTCGAGAATTGGCCCGAAATAAAAATTGAATTGGGTTTAACAAGACACGACTACGCAAACGGGCAAGAATGAACAGAGACTCTGTGTATGCATTCGAATGAATTTCCGCATGACAATAAAAACCGTACAGATATAAGAATGAAATGAAAGTAAGGCGTGATATTTGTTGAAAGCGATTCTCACACTTGATTCCATTGAAAATTTGAATATTTTCCAGAAGCCATTAACATTTGTGTTAATTGGCACACATTTTTTTCTCTTTTTCTTTACATTTTGAATCAAAATTAACGGCCACAAATACTTTGACACCTACAATTGTTGGACCATTGAATTTTTGAGAATGAAAATTTACGGCATTTTTCTAAAAATTGAATGAACAACAGACAAAACTGAATGCGAAAAACTTGCATTGTTTTCTGAATGAAACAAAAATTGAAAAACGCTTGGGAGTTTGACGAAAGTGAATCGTTAAAAATAAGGTTGAACCAATTATATCGATTTACAATCGAATATCAATGTGTGTGGAATGTCGAAATATTTTTTTTATGGCCGAATAACATTTGGTCGTTTGCAATTTACATACGTGCGACATCGTGCGATTGTTTCGAATACTTGAAATTGAAGCACGCAGTCAAACATTGGTGCTATTTGTTGTTGTCATTTTGCAGACCATGTGTGGTTGAGCCGGCTGTTATTAAGCAATTCACCACGTGAACTCGCGTCATAATATTTAATGGTTTATAATTTGGTAAAATATATTCGAATGGTCTACATTTGTAGAAGTCGACTTTGAACAAGAAATTGATCAAGCGGACGGGGCGTTGATGTTATAATGAAATCAACGGCAAAAGAGAATGTTTTCACTTTCAAGCGCTTAATTTGTCATCGTTGGTTTTGGGTTTTTTTTTTCTTCGTTGTCTCGACTTGTAGTCATCAAGTGAAGATGTTGTCTGACCTTCACACTAGCACAAATGCATCGACACCTTCATCGGATTGCATACATGATGACATGATGTGTTTCTTTGTACTACAAATCCTGGCTAATGTATGTGTTGAATTTCACTCAAGTGAAGCATATATGACGAGAGTGCGAACGAAAAAAAAAACTTGAGGGGTGAGTAGCTCACCATAGTATGAATTTAGTATAAAAAGATTGTAATCAGCTGGTTTAGTTATCAGAAAAATTTGAGTTTCATTCGTGGATTGATCAAAGTAAAACCGACAAAATGAAATTCATTATCGTATTCGCTGCCCTCATCGCTGTCTCAGCCGCTGCTCTTCTCCCAGGCGCCTCACAAGAATCTTTGGCCACCATTGTCAGCCAACAAGCCGATATCGACCCACAAGGAAACTACCAATATGAGTGAGTTTAATTCCATTTTCTTTTCTCAATTGCATATAGTGATTTCAGTGTTTTGACTCACCTTACTCGTGCATAATATAATTTAAGTTATGGATTTATCGAGAAAAGGGAAATCAAACTGTTTCCAAGTGTTCTTTTTTTCAAACAATTTCTGAATGTTCTTTCTCTTCGATCATTTCTTTCCTTAGCTCAAAGACTTCAAACGGAATCTCAGCCCAAGAACAAGGACAATTGAAACCAAACCCAGCCCCAAAATCAGCTGAAGATCCAACTGCCTTCATCGCTGTTCAAGGTCAATTCTCGTACACCGGCCCAGACGGTCAACAATACACCGTCCGTTATGTTGCTGATGAAAACGGTTTCCAACCACAAGCCGCTCACTTGCCAGTCGCCCCAGTTGCTTAAATTAGTTTCACACGAACAGAGGCACACGAAAAGCCTAAAGATTTTGGCTTAACAATAAGAATATGCTGATAAACGTTGACGATGCTTTGCTTCGATGATTTTATGTTAGGCTTATATTTATTTTGAAATCCCGAAATCTGAAACACTCTTGTTGTAGTATTGCCGCTCATGAAACACCATCTTCAGTCTGAAATAAATCGGCTAAAATAATAAGCAAAATATAATTAGATTAATTGAAACAAACATGATTTTTCATTCACTTGAAATGTATAGAATTGCAATTGTGCAGGTAAAAACATATGATGGAACTTATTATTGTAAGGTAAGTTTTTTTTTTGGTAAGCTATTGATTCAGATTCACAAATTCTTAATACTTTACATGTTTAAATTCATAATTAGTATGTAGCAAAGATATTAAATTGGGGAAAAATTAGATGAAGCTCAAACTTTGCTCAAAAAAGCCGAAAAGTCGTACAAGAAATTGAAATGAAAGGCACAACAAAAAGGTCTTTTTGAAAGTGAAGAGAAAAGCATTTTCGAGTATCATTTCACTGTCAAATTGAACAATTCGCTAACCATTCGAATATTTCGTTGAAAAACAAAAAACGGAACTATTATCTCTTTTTCATTGTTAAATTTTGAGACCTTCTGTGAGTACGGGAGATAGAGAGCGAGAGAGAGAGAGAGAGAGAGAGAGAGAGAGAGAGAATACACATTACGATAAAGCTCGATTGCATACCCTAACCTTGTGAACATTGAAATTACTCCTATTGAAATATTCACAAGAAATGCAAAGAAGTTTGTGGTTTTGTTGTTTGCTGCGTATATTTTTGTGTTTATCTGTGCTTAAATCAAGCGGCTTGACATTGGTCTAGCTTTATCGCGATGATAAAGAAGAAGCAAAGAAAAACGGAAAAAGAGATAAAATATTTCACTATGAAACTAGTTTGATTCACAAAATTATCATTTTCTTATGCATAAATAGCACCCGCCAACTGTGGCATCATAAAAAAAAATTCCATAGGATATGCTATTGGCATAATCACATGATTGAAGAATTTGTTTTTTTCTTGGTTTAGAATCAACAGTTTTTATTTTGCATAGATTTCGTCAACAATGTGGTTGAATTTGCGAATTCTTGATTGGATCAGCAAATTTTGTTTTTTGGATTATTTGCATTTTAAAACGCACTTTTTTTGCTCTTACATAATTTGGCAGAAAAAAAAACTTATCGTTTAGATATTCAATTTAATATTGATATAGATACAGACACTAATGTCAGGGTTTCGTTTTATGCAACTCGATTACTCAAAGTATTCGCCACATGTTGTGTTCTTACGTTAATATTTACTCAATTTCCACAAATATATTTGCAAATTTTTTTCAACAGTGATTCCTAATTGGCTGTCCATTCGATTACGTGCTCTCTCTCTCTTTCTCTCTCCCTCTCTCTCAGTCTTTAATGCAATTTCGTTCGTACTGTCAATACTCAAATTTACTGGGGAAATATTTTTTTTTTCATTTGATCAATCAATGAATAGTGAATTTGATGAATATTACAATTACGGCCATTTACGATAGGTCACCAGCATTTGGATGGATTTGAAACACATATTCTGACGCAATATTCGATAACAGTCGGACCCTGATTCAAATGCTTAATTTATTCACGCAAAATAGTATGTTTGATTTTTTTTTTTCATCGATATTCAACGAAATCAAAACCCATAAAATGAATTTGATTTTATTCCATTTTAGTCGCCAACGCTTTTGGGTGCGACTTAACGATCTTCCGATCGATCGATCGAATCGTATGTCAATCGATAAGATATCAAAGAGGTCATGCTTCTTATTTGGTGTGTCCGTACCAAAGTGATGATGAGTCCGTAGAACATTAGCTTCTTGGTGTCTCACCACCGGCGCATAGATGATGAACAATTTATTTTTGGCGTTTTGCACCGTTGCCCATTTCCATCCATTCGCATTTGTATTCGATGGGTATTGTGATTATGTTTTGCAGTTTCGATTGAAAAACCAGTTTCAGTCGCACTATTTGACTATTTGAAGGAAAACGAAATTTTTGTGAAAACCGCAAAGCAAAATTTTTGACCTTTTTCGGCCGGTGTAAATGCCAAACAGCCGTCTGAACGGCAAATGTCAACTATGTTTTTTATTCGTTATTGCTCAGAATAAAATGTTATTTTAATAAACTACATATTGATTGATTGTCTTCTCTCCATCTCCCTCACACACAAATTCCATATTTTCACGGGCTCTTCTTTATCGCCAATTTCTTGGTGTTTCCTATTCGAATTTATGCTGAATAAAAAATATATGCAAGTTTTGGTTTGAGAGCGTCACGATTGATGTCTTGATTTTTGAATCTTTCAGAACATTCGCTTGGACAATAGATTTTCTCGTAATTTCTTTGTCTGTTTTCCAATGACTTTGAAATTTTTATGGCAAATTTATGTTTATGATGTTTTTCTGCATTTACACAAAAAAAACTGAGTTCAACGTTCTCCGCGGATTTTTTTATTTTGTCTTAAGATCATACCATTTTCTTGTATAAATAGAGAAATTCTCGAAGAGAATAGCATCACTTGTGTTCTCAAAGTTTACAGAGAAAGAATTCAAATTAAAATTTAAACAAAATGAAGACCATCATCGTATTCGTCGCTTGCTTCGCCCTCGCTGTTGCTGTAACATTGCCAGTTCAATTACCAGTACAATACAGATCAGACAACATTCAACAACCCAATCCACAAATCATTCAGTATCAAAACGATAACAATGGCATTGGACCATATAACTTTGGGTAAGTAGTTTTTTTTTACTGAAACAGAAAGAAATAAACCTAATATAAATTCTCTGATAATAAAAAAAAATTATTTGTTTGCAATTGGACGCCGGTTATGATTACTTAAACTGGAGATTTTGATTTTATTCCGGAATAGCAAAGCATTTTGTAACTAATTCACTTCAAAGAAAAGTTATAGATAAATTCAAATGAAATTTCATGTTAGAAATGAAACTGCGGGAAAGACAAATAATTTTTATACGTCATTTCATTACAGCTTTGAGACATCTGATGGGGAAAAGCGCGAGGAGCACGCACAAGTTGTGGTTGAAAATGATGGGCCAACACAAGTGGTCAGCGGTTCATACTCTTATGTGGGAGATAATGGCCAAACCTACACTGTCAACTATACAGCAGACAAATTCGGCTATCATCCACAGGCTGCCCATATTCCACAATCAATTGGACGATTCTAAACGCACATTTTTTCAACAGAAGCTCAGACAAACCTGTGAAATGGTTCTTGATTATAAAATATAATAAAATGAATGACATTTCAGGAAAAAGAAAAAAAATGCTTTTGAACCACATTTATCAGAACACGCATCAACTGTTCGTTATTTTATATGCATAAATCAACTGTCTCTTAGTTTAATTTAACCACAAGAAAGAAGATTTATCCTTTATGTTAGCCGTTGTTTAACGATTCATCATTATTTGTTCACGACATTTCAAATTTTGGCCAATGCGTTTTCTGTTTTTAAAACTGATTCTGTTCCACAGATGAATCATAGAATAAAAGTTCAGGCAAAGAAACTACAGATATATCAATTGAAGGTGTCGGCTCAATAGATCTCGATATCAATGGCACGCAACATGTAATTTTACATATACAATGAAATGGATCTAGCGTAGTACGCTCAATAAGCGCGACAAACCACACGCATACTAATAACGAACGATTTGGATTAACGCTCATAACTATTGAAGAAAAAAAAGTAAAAGGCCAAATGGTTTTTAATGAATGAAGATGATGATGATGATGAAGATGGTGGTACACTACACACGTACGCCGTCAACTGATGTGATTCGCTACAAATTTTTCCGTATACAAAGCGAATGACAATCTTCCATCGACATCACATTTCAACTAGCTGTTCAACAAGCAACAAGTCAAACCTCAAAAAAAAAAATCAAAATGAAATTCGTTATCGTATTCGCTGCTTTCTTCGCCGTTGCTCTGGCCGCTCCACAAAGCAACCCAGCTGACGCTCAAGCCACCATTGTGAGCCAACAAGCCGACATCGACCCACAAGGAAACTATCAAAATGCGTAAGTTTAAATCCATTTTCTTTTCTGATATGAATTACATATCGTAAACCATCTCATTCGTGCACGATATCATTTCAATTGTGTTTTTATCGAGAAAAGTGAAATCAAACTGTTTCCAAGTGTTTTCTTTTCCAAAACCATTTCTAAAATGCTCTTTTCCTCCGATAATTTCTTTCCTTAGAGTACAGACTTCAAACGGAATCTCAGCCCAAGAACAAGGACAATTGAAACCAAACCCAGCCCCAAAATCAGCTGAAGATCCAACTGCCTTCATCGCTGTCCAAGGTCAATTCTCATACACCGGCCCAGACGGTCAACAATACACCGTCCGTTATGTCGCTGATGAAAACGGTTTCCAACCAGAAGCCGCTCATTTGCCAGTTGCCCCAGTTGCTTAAGCATGTCTACGATCAGTGATAGGAAAGACACCAAATACAAATAACATCACATGTTGACTAGTCTTGAACATTAGATAATAAAGAAAAAAGTCTAAAAAAAAAAAAATAAAAACATGTTCTTTCATTCGGTTCAAAACGGGTTCTTTTACAGCGATCAGTGCAATCAGATTACGGACAAAATTGTCGAAGAAATCTATGGGTGAATTCGAGAGTGGTGTATGATTCACAGACTTTGTATTGGAATAAGTAGAGTACTTTTTCAAGCAGTGAGCAAATCTTGATATGATTTGTTGATTTCAACAGATAAACAATAACTGTCTTTTATAACGTGTGTATATTGACCGCTCATAGTGTATTGTGTAAATTCGAAATTTTGTATTTGAATTTGGCGCTCTTCTAATGAAACCAGTGGCATTTTTATCAACCACCTGGGTGGGAAGAATGTTCTCGTCAGTATGGATTTCAATTTGAAAAATCGAAAGAAGAAGAAGCAGAAAAAGAAGAAATATTTCTTATGCTATAGCAGAAGTTTCAAAAGTCATTATTATCAATTGAAGATGATAGTGTACCAATACATACTATATTTGCATGACGTGAACTGGTGTGACTCGCTATAATATTTTTCGCATTTAAAGCGATCTTCAACTCGAATCTACCCCGTGTTACATATATGAAACGCTTTTTGACAGGTAACGAACGAGTGATAATATCATTATGCTATAGCATGTTTATGATTCCTAAAGGATGCTTCTATCCAATGATACTGTTGGATCTAAAGTTGATAGAATTGTTTTCAAGTTACAGCACTTCAAACTTTTAATTTGTTGAAAAGAGTGAGTTTTTTCGACATTTTTTTTAATTTCCACTTTTTTTCGTCGATTTTGCACTGAAAATCACAAAATTAAAGGCAAATTTCGGGAATACTAGAGGACAATTAAAAAAAACTGAGTATGCAGATCTTATTTTCCCATTTGGAATAACATATTTTGACAATATTTTGAAAATCGGTGACAAAAAATAATTGTGGGTCGATTCGAGTTAATTCGACATCACATTTCAACTGGCTCTTGAGCAAGTAGCAAGTGCAATCTCAAAATTAAATTCGTTATCTTATTCGCTGCCCTCTTCGCCGTCGCTTTGGCTGCTCCACAAATCAACGAAGGCGACAACGGACAATTCATTCAATTTCGATTCATTCGACCGGAGCTTTCCGTGATACGAAGCTTCCGGACTAATTCAACATTCGAATTTATCCACTTTTCTCACGTACGATGGGACAGTTTCAATACGGATATATTGAGAAAAGTGAAACGAATTATATACTCTTTTTATTTCTTATCGTTCGGTGATATCAAAAATATTTAATATTTAAAATAATTCCACCACATATGGGCTAATCAGCTTTTTATTTTCGCATTCTTTGTCACATTTAGAGTACAGGCCACAAACGGAATTGATTTCCAAGAAAAAGAACAATTGAAACCAAACCCAGATGCTACTTTTCAAGGTTCATACAGCTACATCGGCAATGATGGTCAAACTCATCAATTATGCTGCTGATGATACCGGTTTCCAAACACAAGGCGCTAACTTGCCAGTTGCTCAAATCAATCTAAAACATCGATGATTTAATTTGAACACCAGACATTTTAATACAAATAACAAGGTCGCTTTCTTCGTATACAAATACATGGGAAAGATTTGACGTAAGACACCAAGACGCCTCTAGGCGTGGAATGCTCGAAGCTATCATCGTACACATATTGAACACGAACATTGTCGTTTACACAATCGCACTCACACAAATGAACGCATTGATAGCGCTCGCTCAGTATATGTACGATGACTGTTTTGAGTGTCCCTCGCCTAGAGGGTTGCGTGTTGTTTTTTTTTTTCGTTAATTAAGCGATCTTGCAAATAACGTCCCGTATAGATTTGTCAGAGCACTTAGTTAATAAATTGAAAAAATTCACAGAAAAAACACACACTCTTTTTATTGTCACCACAAAAATCCTTTTTACAGCAACACTTTTGGATTATCTCTAGTGTATGTCGTCGAACAAAAAATGAACAAGTGATTGAAAGAGGAAGTGAAAATTGGGAAAAAACAATCATGAAAAGCCGATAGAACAAACTGTGTCCATCAGTGAAAGATCCGAAAAAAGAGATGAATATTCAAATCTTGGAAGTGAAAAAAAAGTCAAACATGACCAACCTTTCGATTTCTTCTTCGTAGTCGGATCAGTTGAAAATTATGCAAAGCGGGACCTTATTTAATATAATAAAGTTGAAGAACCTTTAAAAAAACAACGAAATATTTGTTTGGATTACATAATATATTCTGCTTTCGACTCGAGAATACTGATCATTTGATGTGAGACCATTTTTCTAATGAGTTTGGACGTTGAAGAATTCCAAAACACTATCAGTGACCTAGAAGTGGCTTGTACAAGCTTTGGCATGACCATTAGTAGCTCAAAGACACAAGTTATGCATGTTAGTAAGAGTCGAAAGACGATTAATTGCGTTTTGAATGGTAGTGTGCTTGAACAAGTGTCAGAGTTTAAATATCTGGGATGTGTTTTCTCCGAAGATGAAAAATTCAACAAAGAATTTGAACATCGTAGAGTGAATGGTAATAAGGTAGTTGCACAACTTAGATCGCATGTGTTTAATAAGCGTGAATTGAGTGAAGAGACAAAGTTGATGATTCACCGGTCAATCTTCAGACCAACTGTCTTGTATGGAAGTGAGAGCTGGGTCGATTCGAATAACTTAATTCATGATCATCTCAAGTGTCTGATATGAAAGTGTTGCGTATGATTTCTGGAGTGTCGCGTAGAGACCAGTGGGAGAATAGAATAAGAAATGAGAGAATTCGCGAGGATTTGAATGTTGTTTTGATTGATGAGGCTGCAAGAAAGTCGAGATTGAGATGGTTTGGTCATGTACAGCGTATGAATGAGTCCCGTTTACCTAAGTTAATTTTGGAATAACATTGGAATCCAATTGGATAATAAAAAAGAAAAAAAAGACGTGTATTGCTCGATGTTAGTCCTATGCTCATCTCCGAATCATCATTGTACTATTTTATTCATTGAAAACCTCCTGTATTTCATTCAATCTCTGATAGAAGATTGCAGCTTTCATCAACTCTTCGAATGTGTGTCTGATTCCAAAATTCCATTGGGTAAAATGGTGTTGTTGATAATAAAAATGGGAATTTGGGATGTGGCTTTTAGACCACTTTGTGGAAGATAACATCTCGTGGACCTCTATCATTTTCGTGAAAAAATACGAAATTCCCATTCTTCATAGTATATTTCTATTGAAGCGACGATTCATGTTACGTGTTTTGGAAACAAATATCATGCTACGCTTCAGTTCAAACACTTCTGTGTTCCTATTTCAATTTTCAGCAATACAACTTTTTTTTCTGATTTGGTATACAAAAGCCGTTCGTAGATATGTCTTCATCGTTCAAACATTTTATAACAAAGTATTAGTAACGCCGCTACTTCCCCGTGTGGAGAACAAATGACTGACTGACTGTAACCAAAATCAACTAATAAGCGACTTTTGTTAACTGAGCAGATGATTTGTATGCAATTTGATCGACTATGATTAAGTTATAGCCAATCGCTTAATTTGGGACGTATTTGACTGCAGTCAACCTTTGATTGCAGTAACACAACACATGCAACGGTTTTCTATTGCTGTGATCATTGTTTTTGTACTGAATAATC